GCAATGGCTTTAAACTAACGACCAATAATGAGCCAGGGAGGAGGAACGTCATAATTCATATAGGATACTTAAACGAAATGCGAATTATATGAATTAACATAACACACTGGTTAATGTGCTAAAAATAATGGCTTTGTCGGAACAGCAAACATACAATTTCTCTTAATGGGGACATGAAACCCTGAATAATAAGTGATAATCCGATTCCTCGATGACTCGAATTTTTATTTAAAATCTCCTTATAGTTTAGAAACCTACTCACTTAATTTAAAGTAATATAGTCGATTGCAAAGGCAAATAAAAATAGATAACAGCCCGATTATAAAAATGTGAAATGAAAAGGGCATGGCTTGTCTTTCCAGTGAAACACTGGCACCCATGACTATGGCAGAGCAATAACAATGCAATTTCATATCCACGGTCTGGTTTCGTATTCTGTTGAGAGTGCTGATGAGACCCAGTTTAGGACGAAACTTCAATTCAAGTGGGATAAGACAAACTTTTGGAAAGCAAGGCTAGGTGAAATTCACAGGCGTCACGAAGCCTGTCCTTCACTGTAAGAAACTTGATAATCAGTCTATAGATTATAGTGAGTGACCCGGGCTGACTCACGGTTTCCTTCAAGAGATACTAATAATACTGAGGACTTACTCGATTACTATATAATTTAGTAAATGCCGAAAAAATGAAAATTCTAACCGGATTTGGAGATATTTGTTAAAAATTAAATAGTTATTCGGTTAAGGGTATAGATAAAATATTGAAAACGACAATAATTTAATTAGGTCTGGCCTCGTTTTCGTAACTTGCTCGTGTTGTCAGGGGGAAGTAATTGAGCGCACCTTGTCCGAAGTCATTGAATATTTTGCGGGCATCGTCAGTGAGTCTTGCCATTCCCAGCACTAAACTACAACTCATCAGAGACAGGTGAAGTCAATCCCTTGTCCAACTTTCGACCGAAACGGTTGTGTTATCACTTCTCCTACTGTCTTGGCCTCTAGCTACTCCACAGCCTTTTGTCTTGCTCTCGCCCCTTTGGATGGCGTCATCACACCTGCTATTTGCCAATACGGCCGACAAGAAATAACGTAATTTTTCTGATTTAATAACAGAAAGACATGACAATAAACTGCATATGTATGAAATTATAAGACAACTTAGGTTGGAGTAAGTGTGCTCAGTTTAATGGTTTTCCAAGGTGACGACACTTACTGATCAGTACTGCGGAGGGAGTAAATCGGTGAATTTATCCTTGCTTTCACTTGATCTGGAAACCGACAGAAACCTTCTAGAAGCAATTCTGGCAGAAGTCATCAATATCCCTGACAAGTTCCCTGAAGAAATTAAACTGGAAATGTAGATGGAAATAATCCTAACAATATTGAAACATCAAGAACCAACACATTAGCAGATTTTCAAAGAGGCGCAGAACCCTAGAAATGAATTAACAATTAGTCCCTTAGGTGGATAAAGGATGAGCGACAGTTGTAATGGACAGAAATCAATATGTCGAGAAGATAAAATGTATACTACGAGACAGGACCACGAATCGCGTACAATAGAAGGACCCAACTAGAATATAAATGAAACATTACGTAACATGTTGAAAGGTATGTATAGGAACGGGGGGAACAATTGATGGACAATAAATTCATAAGGAAATAGGATGCACAACCGCCAGCAGCCTACGGGTCACTGAAGTCACGCAAAGGGGAATCACAAAAGCTGAGGGTCAACAACAAGTATGGCAATACACAAATTGGCAAAGTGCATACGTCTGAAACTCAGGAAGATAAACGACAGATTATAAAACACAGTAGAGCATTCATACGAATTTTCTAAAAGGATCGAAAACATGACAGTAGAAAAGACAAAATTATTGGCAAGGTTTAAAGTAGAATCTATATGCATAAAAACTTTAGGAGAAAAGGCGTTAACGGCCCTGGTAGAAATTTCGATTTAATAAGAGAATATCTTAGAAGCAGAGAGTATCAGAAGGGAATCGTTAACACGACTAATCAAGTTGACAATAAAGAGTATCTATTTCACATTCAACCACAACATCTATGAAAAGACATTCCTATGGGATTTAGGCTCTCATTTCTATTTGCAAATGTATACATGAACAAATTAGAAGATAATTTAAAGACGTCAGTGCTGCAACCAAGAGTGAGTATGCGATACCTGGATACCTACTTCACAATTTGACGACATGGAAGAAAAATATTGAAGGATTTACTGAAGTATATAAATCAGATTGATGAAAGAATCAAGTTCACAATGGGAGTAGGAGGGCCGTTTACCTTTCCTTGATGTTGAACTAATGCACTCAAACGGGAAAACAGGAGAAAATCGTTCCAAAGAAGTCATATGCAGGAATAATACTCAATTTAGAGTATCATCACAGCTATAGGCTGAAGAGAGGAATACTGAAACGCATGAACATTCGAAGCCCGTGATTAATGGACGTGGAATTCTAAGATGAAGAATTAGAAAAGTTGACTCGGACATGCCTCAGCAAAGGATACCAAGAGGAGTAATACAAGGAAAGATACTGGCCGCGAAGAGCCGATGGCAAGACAAGGATTATGAAAGAAAGGTAAGGATAGAAAAAGATTAACAAAAGTGGATATGCCTCCCTTCCTGCGAGCTACCTCAAAAACGACAGCCAATATTGAGAAAATGGAAAATTCATGTGGTCTACCGACGCAAAATGAGAGGTTGGACGAATAAGATTGCTCGGGAGTTTATTGCATAATATGCAGCGTCTGCAAACAAAAATATGTTGGGGGAACTTGGAGAAAAATCACTATGTGAATCAAGGAACATCAAAGAATCTGCAGGAAAATGTATACCGAAAGATCAGAAATAGCGAAACACATCGCAAAAACTAGACCCGATATCAATTGGATGGTAATATAACTGTAGCCAAACCATAAGGGTCTCATTCAATAAGAACACAAGGAAACAAAAGATTCGGAGGGCCAGTTACATCTTTGGGGAGAACAATTTAACGAACAGGAGATTGGAAGAAGGCAGAGTTAGTGATAACTCTACCTTATAAATAGTTTAGAGACTACATCTCATGTAACTCTACCTATTGCCTAAGCAAACTCGGGGAAAACTAGGATACGACATGACAAGCAAAAGGGAGACGCATGGATCAAGGATCTATCATTAACCAGAGAAAAAGTGAAAGTAAAGGTTTGGGGAATCAAGCGAAGACGCTCACTGAGTGTAGTCAGCTCGAAGCAAAAACGACAAGTTTGAGGGCCTGGTGGTAATGAGACTCGGAAGACAGAGAATTACAAATTGACTAGAAATTCACTTTAAAGGTATCAAGCGACCAGAGATAAAAAGGCACATTTTCCTCATGACATACGGGGTGAATCAAGATGATAAGTGAAGACAATGCCTAATATCTGCAGGAATGAGAATATGAGCCTAGGCGCTCTGTAGGTGAGGCGACAAGGTATGTGCTACTAAATAGTTGAGAAATAATACAAGGGAGTAAAGCGCACAAAGGACCGGAGTCGAATGAAAATGGATCAATCAGAGATAAGAAACTGATCTACGAGAACATGATGGAGATCCGAATAAGAGGTCAGAGTCGGATCAGTAAATCGAGAGGGAGGGGAAGCACTGAAAACAGCAGATGATGACGCCACACTAAACTCACCAAAAAGAGCACATCTCTTGAGGAGTGGAATATAAGTTGTGATAGGGCGAAAGTGAGGCAAGAGGGTGTAGAGTAGAGGACAGAGCAGGAGTGATAGCATAATCGCTTGGGTAGAAAATTGTTTGAGGGATTAACTTCAGCTGTGGCTTCCAAGTTATAGCCTGATGTTGAGAATGGCAAGACTCACTGATGATGCTGGCGAAACGTATGAGAATGGACCAAGTTCATGGTGCGACGCCGGAGAATTATCATAACTACTATAGCAGAGGACTTGAGACAATGTGCATTCAACTAAGTCCCTCTGACAACACGACCAAGTTGCGAAAACGTTGTCAAACCAAATTTATGAATCGAAAGGAAAATATGACCAAAATAGAGTTGAGTTTTGGGAAAATAAATAGGCAATATATATATATATATATATCGATTGGTATATCAGATAATGAAGAATCAAAGCTAATAATTTGACTTACCTGGCCTTTTTCGTTGACCTTCATGTTAAGACTTCTCAGCTGACGTTGCCTGACATTTTGCGCTCGCTGTCTAGTACGCAATGCAGTTGCTCGTCGTAGGTCTTTGATCACGCGTACAATTTCAATCGGTGATATCGACTCGATAAATGATGGGGACATTGTTTGCATCTTGTTGATTTCCTCTTCTTCTTCGCTCATCTGATCATTTGATTCCCTTCGTTTTTCACATGGTAAAGAGGGGTCGTCGCTGAGAAGTATAATAGAACCGAATGAGGATAGAGGGCCGTCCGCGATATCCAGACCCTCTACCCAAGCGGATAACATGTCTTCAGCAAGCAGACCTACTCGGCCAGTTGACTTGCAGGTTTCTAACTGATGCAGGAAACCAAGCAGACGAGCTAATAAAGTAGGCCGACGCAAATGAGGTGAGAAAGTCGAGATGCAACCAACCGCGGGACTCAAGCCGCCGATGACAGCAGGAATTGCATCGGTAGGGAAGCAACCGCGCAGCAATTGCAGCACATAAGGCAAGCCGCGTTCCGAGAGGAAGCAAGCAAGAATAGGGTCATCGGTGCTGAGGAAAGATCAAATTAAAGAACAACGGTGTTAGCGCATGAAGTTAAAACCTTTAAACAAGTAATTTAACACGGGCATGCGTTCGCGTGTATAGGACTCTGAGAGGTCATATTTGATTCTGTTCATGAAGTCCTAGTTTAATCCAAATAAAGTGAATCCTTACCACTTCAGAGTGGAAAGTCCAAAGATGAAGAATGGAACATGGAATTAAGAATAGCTCCAGTTCATAGTAAGAGATGCTACATACCGGGGCAAATTTAAATTCTAAAACCAACTGGTGAATTTTATAATGCCAAAAGATTTAATATGAAACTGGAGGGAATACTGAGGGTGATATGAACTAATTAAATTTATGATAAAAAGGCCTTTTCTATTTAAATAGGAATCAACGGTGCTGGATAAATCAAGATACCAATCCAAAATAAGGTTTTCATTTATTTAAAGATAAGCATAGAGATATATATGCATATGAACCAACGATGTAATAGCAACGAAATTTAGTTCTTGAAGCAATAAATTACGGTTATGGGAAAAAATGTAGACAAAGCACAAGGCCACAGTGTGTTGGCCTGCAATGCAGAGTTTTCCGCTATTTAAGTTGGTGTTAGTTATTGTGCTTTTTAGAGAAGAATAAAATAATTTTTTATATTCTTAAATGAAATGGCTATTATTGTTTAAGTTCAAATAGTAATAACAACTATAAGGACCACTAAGAGATTTATAGTATTAGCCTAATTTACAGGATATTGAAATATTTTCTAGATATATTTAAAAGATAATTGTTATAAAAGCGAAATTAGAAAAATAAAAAATAATAGATTTAGACTAAAAAGATCTGATGAAATTTGGTGTTTATAGATAAGTAATGAAAAGGAATAAAGTAAATAAGGCGACCGAAATTACAGACAGCGATGAGCCACATTCGGTAACCAAGTTTATGGTGAAATACGCAATGAGCTAATTTTGTAATAACGTTAAACGAAAAAATAACCAAGTAAATAATGATATAAGTTCCATATAAGAGTTAAAGTTATAACATATTCATATTTGCACCAGTAAGCCTTGCTTTTATTTTTAAGACTTTTACTTCAACGTAAAAAGGAGAAAGGGACCCAAAAGGATCCCAAATAAGCTAGTCATCATGCTGAGTAGTCAATATGAGCTTAATTACCTAATGCTTTTAACTTTTCTGCGAGAAGCAGCTTCAGAGCCAAAATCCATTATACATAATCCCCAAAAAATAAAAACAAGCAGATGCAGGCTGCAACTATAGGATCCTCTGTCGAATCATATTTTGAGGTAACTATATTGATTGATATATAGTTATTCGTATGATATAAATATATGAGACCTTTTTTCTTGGTAGAGTATAATTTTTGCGCTATTTGGTAGTGAGGATTCTTGCTCTGATGATGTCTGCCAGGACAGTATAGACGAGTGCTTGACAAAGGTACATCGGGGTCGCAGAATGGCGAGCCGAAGATCTTTTCGTAGGATCCAACAGTCTTTGTTCGACGGCAAACATCCTTCGGTTTCTGGTGAGGCAATTTAACGAATTCGTTCCAACTAACTTTATCGTCGAAATGGAAAGTCCTGTCGCAATAAATTACCAAGGAATTCTTATAAACCCAGTTTTTCTTCACATTTTATGTGGTATTTCTAAGAGGCGAAAGATCAGTATGTATTAATTGGATTATGAACAGGGAGCATCATGTACTTCTACGGTCAACTATAGGAATACATACAATACCAGCAATTCCAAGCCAGGATTCCCTTGGATTGGATGAAAAAAGCTTACAAATGTTATTTGACCTGATTTTCGAAACTTGGTCATAGTGGCAGGAAGACCTGGAGGAACGCGCCTAGTCCAAAGTCCCCAGCAAGCATGATAATTTCCAGAGTCAGACCTTGGACTTGATAAGTTCCCAGACATTTCGCTGGCATCTTTAGTGAGCCTTGCCATTCTTAGCATTAGAAATTTTCTGCCAATATGAGCAAGTTGGGAAAACAATGTCAAATAACTAATATATAACGAAAGGAGACAGAGACCATACAAAATGCCACACCATCTTGGCCTTCACAACTTCGATTAAATATGTTTTGTTGAGCTTACTCTTCAAATTAAAGTGTTTGGCGAGGAGATTAGAAAGTCGATTCCACCAGAAGACGACGACGGATTCCCCTTGTCCAGCTGTCAATTGACATTACTAGAACATTCATGGTGACGTTGTTTCCAAAGTAATCTCCTTAGATTCCGGTGAAACGTTCAAAGCTTTCGTCCGTCATATGACGAACATTATCAGAGCAAGGTATCATCGTCCCAACCAAATTCACACTAATGAGTCAAGAAAACTCACTGGCAAATTCCTCAAAAAGCGGTATATATACTCTATATCTGGCCTCTTTGATCAGGTATAAAGTGATTTCGTTAGTTACGATCATATGTCAACCTCGAAGCCTGTGAGTGTGTCTGTCTCTATATGTACTTGTTTGTATTTGCTTATGCACAAAACCAGCAGTGATGGCTCAAAGTAATTAGGACAGCGAAAGGAATGTCTGTTCTTGGTAATCAAGGTTTGGTGCCCACTATCTCCGACTTTCTACATACATGTTATAACTTTCACTTTGATTGCGCAAGTTCGGACACACGTCTGGTTATGTTGATTATCCATTTTTTTGGCTCCATGTGAGAGAGAAAGAGTGGGATAAAAGTATAGAAAAGCGACTATCATTAGAACCAAGACAAGAAAAGACTAGTTGCGTCGCCTCCTTTTTGCAGACGGCTCAACTTCCTCTCTATCCTTGAGCCTATTAATTAAGCACAAGTAATTTTTACTTATCTTCTTACTAATATTCCTTACATTCAATGTATTTCCCAATCGGTTTATTTCGATGGTTTCTCTCATTTTACTTTTAGCCGCAGACACGTAATAATCAGCAAAACAAGAAGTTTGAGACCATTCAATCTCGTATCCCGTTTCTGCCCTGTGCT